CCCAGCTTTTTCATTTTTGGCTTATAAACATCTTTTATGATGACAACTAACCCCTGAAACTTTGGAGTTGATTGACCTTAATTTCTTAAAGTTACAAGGGGGGAACATGGATATCTATGGGGATAACTACCTTGGCACGACACCGGCGCTCCCATCCATGTTTACTTCCGTAAACACAGAGCACGCTGGCCTGTGACGTCATTGCGTCCTCTACTGCGCATGCGAAACACGTGCGTTTTATGACTGCAGTTTACACAGGAGATCACATACAAGTCGCATGTATTTGTACTGTGAAATGTGAACGGCAACGCAAAAAAATCGGAATTGAGCATGAAGGCCTGCAGTGTGAACGAAGCCAAAGACAACTTTTATTGTCATCTTGTATAAACAGACTGTATAAAAAGGGAAATAACGTTTATTACAGCTTTCAGACAGTAAATAAGCAGCAGCTTAGCAGTGACATTAATATTCCCATTCCATAAAACGCATCAGTGGTCAAATGTAAACAATGTGGAAGAAAAAAATAAGTTGCAAAACGCATTAATATGGAGGTTCAGAGCATTTCAAGTCAAATATATGTGGAGCAAATATGCAGAACTTTGTTTTGGTGTCATCAGTTTGATGCAGTCTTACTTGATTTAGAGTTTTTTAATTGGATGTCTGATGTCACTAAATTTATAAATATAGGAGCTTCAAACATCTAGAAGAAAACACGATTACCTAATTAAACAAATATATTTGGTCATTAACTTAATACTGGTACTTTTTATTGGTCTCTACTTAACAGGCCAAACAAAGCATTAAACACAGAGTCGCTGCTGTTAATTAAGATCCGTTCTAATTGTATATTTCTAACTCTGTGTTGCTAATTTGCGCTTTAAAGCAACTGAATCGAACTGAAACTCTGCTGTGTTTGTTTTTCATCGGTTGTAGCAGTTTCCCCCGCGCGTGGGGTTCAACACGTCCACTGTTTACTTCCTCCTGGCTGCGTGGGAGCGCGAGGGCTACATGCCCTCCGTGTTGTTCTCAATGGCGCCGGTGCGCGAGCACGTAGAAAACAGCTTTGATTGTCTTTAACCCTGCAGGTCGCTTTCTCCTGTTTGACACATGTTCAGTTCCAGTGTTTCCAGACTGAGAAACAGCCACCATCCTCAGCGCGCGCTACTTCTGGTTTATAGAAAACACTGGATCCAAAAACGGACTTTTCTAAGAAATCCCGCGGTGACGTAACACGGTGTCATTAAAGGCAGTGCCCAGCCTGCTCTTCTTTCAGCTCACAGAGAACATCACATTCAGCACGTCTCACATTCAACCCCCATTGGAAAGCTGCGAGAATAACAGCGGAAGTGTGGAGATTGCTTTTCAAAATAAAGGATACTTGAACTGTAATGATTAGGTAAAAAAACAAACAAAACAAAAAAACAGTGGGATTGGTTGCTAAAATATGTGATATCCAAAAAAAATATATATGTATACATTTGCCATTTCACTTCTACAAATTGTTTGAAAAGTAAACTAACATATCAGTCAGACCTCTGCCTTTTCTAACAGTAACAAATCCCAAAAGCTATGATTGGATAAATTTAATGAATTCAATTCAGTATATTTCTAAAGCGCCATTTCACAACACATGTCAACTCAAGGCACTTTCCAGTTCA